AGTTCCAGGAATTCTTGTTGCTAACATTTTTTTATTCAATTAAGAAACAATTTGTATGTCTTTACAACAGCAGAACCTAACTTATCCTCATCCTCCCAACAAGGGGTTGCAGAACCAGGTGTTCTGTGACAGTCAGACCTGTTTGCATTACTTAACTGCTAATTTTACATGCCAAAAGATATTCACACCCTCACCTTATCTGCGGCCTCCTTAATTTGCGCAATAGTAAAAATGCCAAAGAAGTCATCATCTCTGATTCCATTGATTACAGCAAGTGCAACATCATCAACACTTACAGGTGGAGCCAAGAGCAGATCGGATGCCGGAAGAGAACTCAATGGTTTGGTAAAGTTCTCTGTAGCACTCATAATTCTTTCCACTGGTTCTCCTATCAGATCCAATGGAAGCTCAAATCCATCCACCCTCCTTTTCCCATATATGAAACCAGGTCTTAGCACAATACCTGAGGACGTTAAATTCAAAAGAAATGTAAGGAGAGGAAGAAAGGAAACGGCTAAATATAAGGAGGGAAGGCAGATTTAATTAGTTAATCAGTAAAGCCAGAAAACAACGTCGGTATGATTATGTAGGTATATCAATGAGCACTAAATTAACAAAGTTGCCAGTTGCTCCAATTTAGCTGAGAACTCTTTATCAACTTAAACAAATGGGCCAAAGGGCTTTAAATAATGATGTTTTCCAATCAATTAAAAACATTTTTCTAACAAAGACTATTCTTTCACTCATCATCATTGCTTCTTTAGCAAAATACTTGATAACTAATTTTACACGTTCCACACTTAGTCCTCTAAAATTTCCAAAACCCGAGAAAAAACTTAGGTATTACCAGAGTTGGGATATTTGGAGAGAACCTCCGATTCAGCTTTTCTCTTTCCTGTGAAGTATCCTGATGAAAGTAAAAATGGAGGCAGATTGTAATCATGCACTGAGATCAAGATAAACTTGGGAACTCCTGCCAAGGAAAAAAAGAGGAACATAAAAGTTACATATCTAGCGTCTTTTGCGTGCAATTGTGAGACATAAGAGTAGCTTTAATTAAGGAACATCTAGGATATACATAATGAGACCATCATTGTTCCATTAATGAATATATGATGAGAAATTTTCAAAATGCATACCAGTATGTAACTTAATATGGAACAAACTAATGTTTTGGGTCCACTCAATAAATGGTTTTATGATCTTAACCTTTCATGTTTTAAGTAGCCACACAAGAAATCAACAAAATCGGAAATCAACTAGCCATTTGAATGTATACGCCTGTTAAATTGATTAATGTGAGATGACTAAATGACTTCAGAATTTGGGTGATTGTTTGGATGGACAATCTTTGAAGGGGAACCTAAAAAAGGAATAGTTCAGATCATAGAGCCACACCGTTGAGTACCTTAAGTGAATGTTTCTTGTATGCATTTCAAAACAAATTCAGCATGTGTGTATATATACAGTTATGCTCTAGTCCGGACGTCTGTATATTTTTTAATATGCAGATGTGCTGGTTTAGCCATTTTCCTTGCATCCAATTAGTTGTTTTTAGATAACTCACAGCTTACATTTGTATAAAACAAAACAATGAGAGACCAAATAAAAGCAGCTGTCAATAGCATACCAAAACAGAGGCAGCCTACAATGGGACATCAAAACAAAAGCGGTGGGAAAGTGGTGGAATATATGTTTTTACTTCCTATGCACTAATATACAATGATATGAAAGTTTTTGAGTTGACGTAGTAACACAAGAAGTGAAAGAAAACACAGACATTAAGCAAAATACAGATGTCCGCATTAGAGAACTCCTATATATACACTTTGACTACCAGCTTGACCAGAGTCAAACCTTATAGCCTTAACCATCTCCCTCTTTCAAAGAACATTGCTGAGAAGAATTCTTAAGCTTCCTCTATCCGTTCCTAACGGGTGTTGACTCTCTTGGGAATTCAAGGGTCACAACAATGTGCCCTTAATGTTTTGAGGGTTCTATGTTATCCTCTCTATTTTGGTGAACAAACAAAAAGTTAGAAGTCCTCAATTGTACTAAACTTATAAAAATTAATAATAATAATAAAACTACTGTCAACTTATAGGTCCTTCAAAGGCAGTACCTTGACTCAGAAAAGTGAACTAAAAAGAACTAGGAAGATCTACTGAAGACTCTGAAGGGAAATTGCATGAGTAGCTCTACAATTGTTATTTATGAATTTCTGTTAGCTTCTTGTTGCAAAGAAAACAAGCATGATGAATAGAGTTTAGACAGAAGGTTACTTATAAAAGGGAATGAATAAAAGAGAGGAAAGTGAGAGAGGGAGGAAGCTTCAGTACCAAGAAGAGTGAATCAAATAAGGGAGATTCACTATTAGACTCAATATAGGGGTCCAAATTTAAAAAAAACACTATATAAAATAGACTTTAGAAACACACCCAAAGCCCATTTACAACATAACAAAGAGGCTTTTAACTTCTTATAAATTACAAAACTGCCATCAATTTCTTAAAACGAGCCCAACCCCAAAACCTCATAAAAATACCCAAAAAATTCAATAGGGCATCAAAGTAATTTAATAATCAAAATTAAATTCAATAAGGCCAGCTGTCATTTTTTGGGTTTTTTTTGGTTTGTTTATAGAAAATAAATGGGGGTAGGGTTTATCTATATTATTAGTGCTAAGAATGGGTATATGACTAAATATCTCATCAAATAATAGATGTAGCAAAACAGAAGGAAAAAATCAAGCAAAGGAGTATAATTTACTGCAATATGATAATTGACATCACTACCATAATCCTTTGCAGCATTTACAGCAACAACATTTGCATCCCCATTGATCCTTTGCATCTGTTCCTCACTGCCAAAACCACCGATGGTTGAAACCACAGCAGTGGCCCCAACAAGTACGTCATCCCAGTTTACGTAGAAAACATCTCCTGCATCACACGAATTACTTCAAAAATTGCATGCCATTTAACCAGCCAGTCCAAGATGGCATCAACTTGAAGTAACACATGTTATGACATATTCAGAACAATGACACCAATAAACTCTAAAAGTGAACCAATGGTTGGGTCGAAAGGAATAAGGCCACATCATGCTCAAGCTAGGGTTATATCATATTCACTTCAATCACACATCATAAATTTCCAGGTCAACATTTTTACATGCATCAGTTTTTATCTCATTTTACTTCTATATTCTACGTTCTCCAGGAAGCACCAAGAGCAATCTTCCCTCGTCACTTTATTTTATTGTTACAAATATCATTTTTCTATTTCGGAAAGGATTTTTAGCTGTTTTGCCCCCTGAACTATTAGGCAATTCGAACTTACCCCCCTAAATTATTTCGTCTGCCGATTTAGTCCTTTTACTCATATAAATATTCAATTTCACCCTTACCGTCAAGTTTTTCTAATTTCATCCACTTTTCTGTTAATAACGAGGACAAATTTGTAATTTAAAAAATATATAAATTAAACCCCTTTGAAATACGAATTATATTTTTAAAAGTTAGAAGAAAATCAACAAAATGGACAAATACCCAACGCCAGATCCCTATCCCCTCCCTTTTCTCTCAAATGGCTTCTAAGCTACAATGAAGTAGAAAGATCTAGTTTGGCTGCTCCGGTTATTTGTATGTCAGCGCGGGCGACTGAAGCTGTGGCAGCTGCGAGAGGTTTAGATTTGGCCGTTCAACATGGGTATAAAAATGGGATTTTGGAATCTGACTCACTGGCTCTTATTGATGGTCTAAAAGGGAGTGAGAAGAATTGGGCTTTGACAATTTTGTCTATTATCAATGAAATCAGAAGCAAGTCTTCTCTGTTCTTGTTTCTGATGGACTTACTGCCCTCCCCTGGGGCAGTTGGTCTTTATGGTTTGGGGACGTTCTTTTTGGCTGGGGTTGGTTTAGCTTGAGCTTTTTCCCTTTTTATTGTTCTGTCTTTTCTGTAGCTTTCCTTTTGCTGGACTCTGTCTGGTTTTTCCTTTGCAATGAATGAGATTTCGACCAAAAAAAAAAGATCTAATGTACTTGACTCCCAGGCCTTTCGAGCATCATGAGTGGAAGCTTCATGTTCTTAAAAACTTAAAAATTAGAAAGTTTTTTTAAAATAAAATAAAAGAACTAAACACTAAGATTGAAGAATGTAACATACCTGGCACCCAGTTAACCTGATCTATCCATGAACCGGAGTAAGTAGGACGCCCTGACCTGCGAAATTGAGCAAACATTTCACACATAAAACAATGGAACTCAAAATTAAAAAGGTGCAGGCCAAATGAAAAAAGCAATGATGTCTTCAGCACCTGCTTACACCAATGACCTCTATGCCTTTGGACACCGCAGCTTTGCATATAGCAGAACCAACAAAACCGCTGCCTCCTAATACGACAACCTACTAAAGGGAAGCATACGACATCATTCATAGGCACAAAAAAATACCCAACACAACAAGTATCTGAAGCTGAAGCTGAGGAATTAAAAACGAAAATTTGATTTATAAACTAAATAAATGTGAAATTGTTTGCAAGTTGTGTGGTGCTTTGGCTTTGGCTTACCCGTTCAGGCTTAACATCAGCCACAACATCTATGGTGGCGGAAACGGAATTGAAGGCGTCCTTGTTCACATTTGCCTCTGCATATCTGCATTTTATGCTGAACCTGCATAACCAAATTCAGATTTCAAGATTCTTAGCAGAAGAACACCAATTAGTTAAGGCAAGGCAATACCAAATAAAACCCTCTCAAAGTTCCAGCTGGAGAGAGAGAGAGAGAGAGAGAGAGAGAGAGAGAGGAGAGAACGAACCGGGTCTGGAAAAGCGAGTTGGGCCTGGAGCCCGCTGGGAAGGAAGCTCCACGCAGAGGAGAGGGAAGTGTGAAAATGGCAGGGAGGTGCAAAAACGACGCCATTTGACTGAAACAGACGACGCTCGCTCAGCTCCGTAGACTTTGAGGTGCAGAGCGTCGCGTAATTCAGCCCCATGTGGTGTGTTTTAGCCTTTGGACGGCTGATATGAAATGCTTGTGGGACCAAAATTTTGTAGTTTGTAGATGGGAGAAGGGAAAACAGCGCAAAATTTTGTACTTAAGCTACGCATTTTGCAAATAGAATCTATAAATACGTACTAATTGCCCACTTAACACTTTTTCTCACTTTTTCCTCTCTCTCTCTCTCTCTCTGTCTCTCTCTCTCTCTGCGACCACCGCCACTTTTTGTCTCAGCCCTCTCTTGCGAAACCCATCTCATTCTCTCATCTCTCTATTCTGAATCGTGATACCCACCCTCGACCCCATCTTCTAGCTCTCTCTTCCGAATCGTCTAAAATCGCAGCTGTTTTCAATCTCGAAGCTCAATTTCATCGCCGACCTCCAATAGGTTGTCTTCTTTTATTCTTTGGTGTACTTTTCTAAATATGTATGGGTTTCTATCAAATGGGTTTGTTTTGATCGCTTTGGTTTCCTGCTTATAGTTTTTATGGTCATTTTCTTCATCTTTGTGGGTTTCTCACATAATTTGATGTTGTTATTGCTCTGGGTTATCTAATTTCATAATTTGATATTGTTAGTGGTTTCGATGAATCCTTATAAATATAGAGCTCTTCCAAATTATTCTTCACATCAAAAATATGTTCCTCCAATTTCATCAGTGAGAGAGTGAGTTTTGGAGAACTGTTCCAGCTTACTTGAGATTTTGATCTTCGTCGCACATCCAAGTTAATTCAACTTGGAATATTTGTTTCTTTTGTTCTGACTTTTGGCAGCAAGGTGCGTGCCTGTTAGTTGGTAATTGGAGCTGTGAGGCATGAGGTGTGTTTGGAGGGAGCTTCTACAATGAGGAATTAAAGTAAGGAGGTTATTTGAGGAGACCAATCCGACCGTCAAAACATTTAAAATATTTAAGTCCCATGATTTTTTTATATTTGTTGATGGTAAGATTTGACCTCCTCAAATAACCTTCTCACTTTAAGCCCTCATTATAGCCTTTCCGTAGGTGTGTGTTTATGGCATAGAGCATGGCTGGAGGCCTGGAAGAGATGGCAGGCTTGGGCTTACGTGCACTTGGCTCGAAAGAGACGTTGAAGTTGAAGACGCACTAGGCCTCATGCGTGAAAGTTGGGCCAAGAGGCGTACTGGAGTTGGTGGGCCTTGTGCCAGGACTGGCGTGCGATGGGCCAAGCTAAACAGGAGCACGTCGTGGGCCACGCGTGCACAACAGGCCACATACTAGACGTGCGCTGGGCTTGAGGCACGAGTTGGGCTGGAGGGAGCTTGGACCTAGGCCGGACACAAGCTGGGCTCGAACTGGCAACCACGCTGGGCTTCTCCTACAGTTTGGGCTGCTCCAAACTGAACCTCTTCATTTTTTTCTTTTTTTTTTTGCTACTTTTTTTTTTCCTTCCACCCTTTTTTTCTTTTTTTTATTCTAACTTGCAAAAAATTTTCCTTTGCAGTTGTTGATCATGCCTTTCGAAGATGGAAGCAAGTCACCAAGCTCTTAAGTGCCTTTGTATCTATGGGGAGCCTCCCAAGTGTAGAAGAAGAGGTTCGTGGCTAATCTGCACTGCATTACGACTGAGGCTTAGTTCCAAAAGTGGCAAGCCGCTTATGCTTTTTCCATTCCTGATGGCGTGCATGTCAAGCTGGCGAAGCCTTTCACTTATTACCTGTCCTATGTGGATGCAAATGATCCAGATGCTAGGATCATCACCTTCCGTCCTTTTCATTTTTCCTTGAGCTTCACCTTCCTGTTGTCAAAGTTTTTTAAGTTGGTGTTCTGGGTCATGGGGTGTGCTCCGAGTCAGTGTACTCCGAACGTCTATTGGGTGATCATGTGTTTTGAGAATCTGAGCCGTTTCTTTAAGCTGCAATTGACAATGCGATCCTACTTTTTCGAAGTGAGGCGCTCTAAGAAGTACACTCAAGTTCGCATCTATAATGCCAAGGTGTTTGACAACTGCAGTCAAGGAGACCACGTATGGCTTGACGACGTACTGGAAATCAGCGGACGGTGGGAAGGCAATGTTGATGATGGTCTGCTAGTTCCCATTTCCTATTACAACTGTATGTCATTTTGTCGCTTTGATCTGCTATCTTTTTATTTGAATTTCTTGAAATGTGGCTGATTAACTTCTGTCTTTTGCTTGAAGTGATCGGCATCTGCAAGAAATTGGAACTTGGGTTGGACATGGCTAAGGTCGGCCAAGCTCTGAATGTCCCTCTGAAGTTTCGAGAGTATCGAGAGGAAGTTGGTGGGTTGTCCCTTGCCTAGGATGTTGAGAGATTGAAGCAAAATGGTCCTGATCCTGATGATCTGCGTGTCGAACAGGAATTCCCCCTAAAAAAGGAAGGTTGTTGCCAAGTCTTCAAGAGATGAAGCTGCTTCTTCGCGGGCAAAGAATGTGTCCCGGTTGAGCAAGAAGCCAAAGTTCCCTACTGCTGAGAAGACTCAAGTGGGAGCTGTTCCCTCATCATCTGCTAGGGTTAAACATCTCATTGGTGCTCAAGACGAACTTTCTGTCAAGACCGCCCACTTGTGCTAAGCTGGTTAATCACATCCGTGGGGCTGACGATCATGGCACCTTCTCTAGTCTTTCCTTGGAAAAACAAAGGGAAGCGACATTTCATCTGCTTAAAAAAGGATTAGTTTTTGCTGCTGAGACTATCCAGAACTCATCTGTTATTGCCCCATCTTCTTCTCAACTTAGCGAGCTAGAGAATAATAATGATGAACTGGCCAGCAAGCTTTCTACAAGCAGACCCATTACGAGAAGAAGACGTCTGATTTGAGGGCGATGATATTTGAGATGAAAAGCTCCCTTACCGAGAAAGATTCTAAGCTTAGCTCTTTTGCTGCTGACTTAGCTAGTCGAAATAAGGCCTACTTCCGTCTTGAGCGCAAGAATGCTGACATCTCCCTCAGTTATGATAAGTTCTTAGCTAGACTTCGCCTCCACAACAAGTCTGCTGAAAAATCCAAGTCTAAAGCCATCATAGATGCATACAAGTTGGGCTACCTGCACTACGCATATGGGACTACTCCCTTTTATGCAATTGAGGATGGAGACATTGAGACGATGTGCCCTGACTTGTTCCATGTGCAAGGTGAGCAGGTTAATGTTGTGAACGTGAAAGAAACTGAAGAGCAGGCGGCCGAAGAGGCGATAGTTGAAGAGGATGAAGCAGGTAGGTGGAGCTGCTGAAGGCGTGACTAATCAAGTGGACGCTGAAGAGGGTTCAGATCAGGGGTCTCCTGCCGGCGTGTTGGAGTAGATAAAGACTTATTTATTTCTTTTCAGCTTTTGTAGTCTGCTTTCTTGTTTAGAATAATTGGTCTTGTTTGACCATGTTCCTTTTGTTGAACTTGGCCGGTTGGTCAGCTTGCTATGAAAATTTCAATTATTTTTTCAACTTCAATTTGTATATTGACTTGTCAACTGCTTGAGTAACCAGCCAGTATCTTGATCATGTATCTCCCTTTGGAAATTTATAAGTGCCAAGGTCTCCTTTGAGGGACTCCGGGCATGATCTGTAGATCCTGTAAGATATTTTCCCTTAGGAAATTGACAAGTGCCATGGTCCCCCTTGAGGGACTCCGTGCATGTTCTACATCTCCTTTAGGATGTTTTACCTTAAGAAGTCGACAAGTGCCAGGGTCCCCCTTAAGGGACTCTGAGCATGTTCTGCATCTCCTGTATGATGCTTCGGTCGTACCCTTGCGTCTCCCGAAGGACGCTGCTTATGGGCAACTACATGACTATCCTGCCCTCCCTAGGAAGCAAATAGAAAACTGGATACCTCCTTTAGGAAGCATGGAGACCTCCTTTAGGAAATTCTTGGTGCACTATACTTCTCCTTGAGGACACTTCTTTGAGGGCTGCATCTCTCGTAGGACGCTTCTGGTCGCCGCCCTACGTCTCTCTTAGGACGCTCTTTATGGGCAATTGTATGACTATCCTACCTCCTTAGGAAATGGATAAGGACCTAGATACCCCCTTAGGAAGCATGGAGACCTCCCTCAGTAAATTCCTGGCGCACCCTTCGTCTCTTTGAGGACGCTTCTTTATGGGCTGCGTCTCTCGTAGGACACTTCTGGTCGTTGCTCTACGTCTCCCTTAGGACGCTCCTTATGGAAAATTGTTTTTTTTTGGGTGGGCATCTGAGACACTCTGGAATGAGAAACTGAACTTAATAAAGAAACTTGAACTTCCAGCAGTTGCTTCTCTTCTTCAGAAATGTGCTGGGCTCAGTCATCTGTTTGGGACTGAGCAAATAGGGGAAGCGTTACAGATAATATTTTCGGAGATGGTAAGCATTCCATTGTCATGAAATTTCCTTTCCATCCATGGTGTTATGTGTGTAGCTTCCTCTGCCCTTGGACTGGCTAATCACATAAGGACCCTTCCAGTTAGGATTCATCTTCTTTGACCTTTGTCTTGGTGCAGTGATGAAAGTCTTTCTTAACATGAGATCGCCTAGTTGAAATTGTCTGATCTTAGCTCTTTTGTCGTAGTAAGACTTCAACTGCAATTGGTAGGTGGAGACTCGGATAATGGTTTTCTCACGCTCACCCTCAAGTAAGTCAAGGTTGAGCCTCATCTGCTCGGAGTTCTGATCAACACTGGCCACCTCAAGGCTTATGGAGGGGATAGTGACATGAGGAGGGATGATCGCTTCTGTCCCATAAGCTAGGGAGAATGGGGTTTCACCAGTGGATCTTCGTTTGGTGGTGCGATAAGCCTATGGTACTCTAAGGAGCTTATCTACCCATTTCCCTTTGGCGCCTTCTAACCTCTTCTTTAGGCAATTCAATATAACTTTGTTGGATGCCTAGGCCTGTCTATTGCCTTGTGGATACCTCAGGGTGGACATGTGTTGCTTGATCTTGTATTTTGCAAAGAAGGCGGTGATCTGCTTGCCAATGAACTGCGAGCCATTGTCAGTAACCAACGACTGTGGGCAGCCAAATCAGCAGATGATGTTTCTCCAGATAAATCGCTCCACACCGGCTTCTTTGGTAAATGATAGAGCTTTAGCCTTGATCCATTTAGTGAAGTAGTC